CCGGCGACTGATCTGCCTCGCCTGGGAAGAGCGCAATGACGGTGCCAACTTGGGCCAGTGAAGCAACATCCTCCACAACTAGATTGAAGAACAAAAATGACAGCAACTTGTATGTTCCCCTTCCCCCAGTTCCCCAGCGCTGTTCCCATCCCCCCAATTCCCCAATAAAAATCTTAAAAAAAAATGTTTAATTTCCACTGTGTAAATCAGTGATGAACCAATTTGAAAGAACAAAGTAAGCATAGACTCTATCAACAGTATAAATTAGGCCATTTATTTAAGTATCATAACCATGTTATGGAGTTATGTATGAAACACCTAAAGACTTTATATATAATGTGTTGTAAAACGCTTACACTTTATTCTCCTGTTCTGGAAGATTTTTAAACCACGTCCTGGTGATTAAGATAAGGTCAGCAATTTGTGCAAATGTTTTTGTATCATGTAGCTATGACTACTGTTCTCTCTCTCTCTCTCTCTCTCTCTCTCTCTGGTTATAAAAGTCCTTTGTCTCTTCAGCTTTCAACCTTTTGTTTTTACTTTTTTTGTCTGTGTGTGATACTCAGTGCAGCAAAATACCTCTTTAGATGATAGAATAGTTATCAACATGTTTATTTGCACTACTACATAAAAACTTTTGTGATTGTAATGGTTTTATTTTCCTATAAAATACAATCTTTATAAATATAAATATTTCTAATTCTTGGCTCCTTTTTTAGGCCAACAATTTCTAACCCCTTTCTTCAACAACTAATGTAATTTTTCTTCATAGTAAAAAGATTATGCTACTAAAAGAAGTGGGTAGTCACTCTAGACACTGATCTGTATTTTTTCTTTTTTATGGGCAGAAAAACAACAACAATGGATTTTAATTAGCAATATTCAGATTTTTTATGTTCTTTATTATTTATGTTCTTGAGATTTATAGACTCAGTTTTCATCCAGAACTTATTTTAAAATTTTTAATTTCCACTGTCCATATCAGTGCTTTTATTATTAGATTTAGTATTTATTATTTGAGGTCATTTAACAATATTAGGACAACTTGTTCTGACTTGAATTAGATTAAATAAAACTGATCCTTTTTCAAGTGGCAGCTGGTTCCAATACCCTATGATACTTGTGTATCTCTTTATCTTTACTGTAGGCTTCTTGAAGGTGGGTACCTTCTAGCTAGTCCCTTGTTTTCTTTAGGGTCATCTGATGTTCATGTAGAAAGCCTTTTTCTTGTTGTTGTTAAGCGAACGTTAACATTTCATTTGCTTCAGGATTAGGGTAAGTATCTTTCCAAACTGAGACATAGACTTCTTTGTCTCATTAAAGCTGGTCATTCCTGTTTCAAATGGGCAGTTTCAGATACAGGCTCTAAAATCATGGCAAATCAGGAAATAGATTTAATAGGAAAGACAGATTTATTCTCACAGGGAAAGAATTGCCACTTTAATTATCAAAGGGACTGATTTTTGTCTGTTCTCTTCAATTTTAGTAGAGAATGAAAAGGCTGGGTTGTTGAAACTACTCTACTTGAAATCTTTGCTTCTTGTGGCAATCATAAGCCTTTCTGCTGAGCAATTTGTGGTGAAGGGGAAATTACAAAAGAAAAACCAAAAAACCAGATAGACAGTATACCTTTGTTCAGAAAGTATTGATAATATGATAATTTATTCAGTAAAGACAAGTATATTTATTGTTACTTCCTAATCAGCAAAACTTATTTCCTTTTTGCCTTTTTAGGAAGTATACTCCCAAACTGAGCCCAAGATGCAAAGTTTGGTTCAATGGGGGTTAGGTAAGTTGATTTTTAATAAGGTATAATCACTTTCATTTAACATTGGAATCTTTAACAGGGGTTCCAAGGATGGGCTCCAGGAGATCTGTGAATTCCTTAAAATTGTATGCAGAATTTTAGCACTGCATTAAGTTTTTCTGGAAAGACAATCTTTTCATTAGATTTCAGAGGATTAGTGTCCCCAAACACTCAGGTAAGTCTCTTTAAGATCATTACCACCAAGGCTGCCGGTTCGATCCCCACATGGGCCAGTGAGCTGTGCCCTCTACAACTAGATTGAAACAACTACTTGACTTGAAGCTGATGGGTCCTGGAAAAACACACTGTTCCCCCAATTAAAAAAAAAAAGGTCATTAGGATTGTTGGGCTAGCAAGTGCAGATACACTGGATTTTTTTTCTTTAAATCTTTTCCAGGTGCAATGTCCCTAACTCATGCTAACTCACAGTAACTCATCAGTAGGGTTCCAGAACCAGGAGAGCTCTTTTGCACAGCTGTTAATAAACTTAAGAAGTTTGGGGCAGGAAGGAACTGGGTTGGTGTGCCTAGGAAAGACCTTATTGCATAATTAGTAGTGCTTTTACATTTTTTTCATTGTTTTCTGTTGTCCTTGATTGTTTGCCACATCCACTTAACACATACCCTCATAAACTGGATTCACAGTCTATGACTAATCTCAGTTAGGAACTGCTAACGTATTTCATTCCCCTTATTGGGCATCTCAGGAAATCAAACTCTTGTTTTTACAAGTGTTTGTTTCCATGACGGAATAAAACATACATGAGTATAGTTATTTCTTGGCGAAGATCATCATAGAGTATTGATGTGCTGATAACCCTGAAACTACCAGATAAATGATTTTTTTATTCGAAGACAGACATATTAATAGCCTACCAGTTCTTTAAATTATTCATGTATGTTAATATGTAACATCTTCATTTTATTAATTTCATAAACATTTATTTAATGTTTATTATGTGCCAGAACTAGTCGAAATGCTGTAAAAATATTAATTTATATATAATCCTTGTAACAACCCTTGACAGGTGCTTTTTTACCTTCATTTTTTTACCTGAGGAAACTAAAGAACTGATCTTTTATCTGTACATATGTGACTGAGGAGTCCTCTTCATTGTCACCTGTCATGTCCCATTGATGCATAACAGTAGGCATTATTTGCAGTATGTCTTTTTTTCTTCTCTTGGACTCATAGTTACTGCAAAGGCTCTTGAGAAGAAATGTTCCATTGTGAGTTGTATTGTTGTCTGCCAAGGCAGTCATTCCATTTCACAGCAGTCATGGCCAAGACATGTTACCAGAAGCTGGGCTTCGGCTTCGGTGCAGTCTTACAGCATGCGTCCTTTCCCATTTCTTTGTCGGTAATTTACCCACTTCAGCTCAGCTCACCAAGGCCATCTGGTTGGCCTTCTAGCAAGTGCTCTGTGTGCATGCCTAAAACTGAAAACACTGTACCGGTAGGCAAAAATAAAGAGAAGTAGAAAATTGTTTCAAATGACCCAGATTAGAAGATGGAAAGTTAAAACTAGGTTAAAGACATAATAAGTAAAAGGCCAGATGAGAATTGATACCAACAACACAAGTCCTACAGTAGTGGTTAAAATGATCACTGTATTTCCCAGAGAACTCAGGAAGAGGAAAACTGGCATGTGTCTGGTATTATCTGGGGGAGAGAATTACTGACTCTTCCAATTAGTGCATCCCACTTACATTTGTTAAGTCACCATCATGGCAGGCTAATTAATACAGTGATACCAACCACTGAGTATAATACATTTTTCAATATTAGCACAAACACAGTCACAGACCTCTATCGAAGGTATAGAGGAAGGAGACTAGTTTTAATAGAGACTGGGGAGATGGGAGCAGTCAGGGAAAGATTTCTGAGCTGAATCTTGAAGGAACAGAGTTAGCCACACCAAAATGTGGGAGGGTGGGGTGGGACTTGAGTGGCATTGCACACACAGGGCACAACGTGATCAAGGCTTGGAGGTAAGACTCAGTATTGCGTGTGCCAGAAACCGGAAGTGGATAGGGAGTGCCGAAGATGAGGTTGAGAAAGAGATGTGAAGGCTTTTTAAGTCATGACCTAGCTGAAATGCATTTGTTAATTCATTCAGTATCCATCAACTCCTAGCAGCATTTTTAATAAATTATCTGTTGAGTGAACATCCACTATGACCACTGAGGAAAGTAACATGGAAATCTAAGCAATCCACCATTAAGGAATGGATGTTCTTGAGGAGTCATAAAATATACTCCTGATTAATTAAACACAAGATGGTTAATTAGGTACCACATGATTGTGTAGAGAATAAATATGATGGGACTTTAGAGGAGGAAGAGAGGTATGTGGGCTGATGAGCATAGGAAAGGCTTTTCTGAGGAAGTAGGACTTAGAGCTGGCTGTTACTTAGTGGGATTGGCTCAATGGAGAGAACAGGCGGCACCATGTGAATGAGGTATAAGACATGTTCAGGCATGGCAAATAGGCTCCTGTGTTGCATTTATTTTTATTTATTTTGTCACTATCAACAGTGACTATTTCCCGCATAGACTTGCACTACGAGTTTCCTTCATTATCCAAATTTATTCTGTTCTTGAATTCCAATGAGCTCAGATGGCAAAGGATACCTTTTTCCCTGAGTCTAATGTATTTGGTTCCTGAGTTTCAGAGAACAAGCAGCAAAGCTTCAGAGACGGATAGATTTATGCAAATCTACAGGCATACCTTGTTTTATTGTGCTTTGCTTTATTGCACTTTGCAGATACTGCGTTTTTCGCAAATTGAAGGTTTGTGGCAACCCTGCGTCGAGCAAGTCTATTGGCGCCATTTTTCCAATAGGCTCGGGTGATGGTTAGCATTTTTTAGCAGTAAAGTTTTTTTTAAAATTAAGGTATGTACATTGTTTTTTAGACACAATGCTTTCGCACACTTAATACACTGCACTGCAGTGTAAACATAATTTTGTATACACTGGGAAACCAAAAAAATTCATGTGACTCATTTTATTGTAGTGGTTTGAAACCAAACCCTCAATATCTCCCAAGGTATGCCTGTATTCTGTGTTTCTGTGTTTGGATGACAAGAGGTTGGATAGCCCTGAATTTCTATCTCTCCTCAGATGAACAGTTGATTCAGATCTGTTACCTTTAGGATGAAGATAACTTAATATTACTGTATTGTCAGTAGGTTGTCAGACCAAAAGTGTTTGGAAAGTGGATACTTGCTATGTGGATAGTAAATGTATATACAGTATATCACACAAAAAGAATGTGTTGAAAAGAGGCATATTAGGAGAAAGCCAAGAATATGTGTACATTATTTGAAAAGCATTTGATACTATATATGCTAGTAATATATAAGATTATTTTTGTTTTATTTTTTAATGCGCAATTTATGGAAACTGTTTCCTGGTGTGATTCTATTGTAGACAGCTATGAATATCTCCAAAATGCACCTCCTGGATTTTTTCCAAGACTTGGTGTTATTGGTTTTGCTGGCATTGTTGGACTTCTTTTGGCTAGAGGTAAGTACAGTTTTATGGGTGTTTTTTTAAAAATAGTTCAAAAGGGAGAGATAAGGTATATATTTGGTTCTTTCTTTTCATTTACCAGTTTTCAGAATAATGAGCTGGATCCTGAGTATGGCCTTCTTAATATATAATTGATAGGGTTATTTTCTCCAGAATATTTGATTTTAAGCATATATAGAAATTGTAAAAAATAAAATGAAAGAAATTGTATACTCTTTAGTTGAGAAAGAAATTACCATATTTTGCCATGTATAATGTGCACGTTTTTCCCAAATTTGTGAGGGAAAAATAAGGATGCGCACTATACATGGGTAGTAATAATTCCGTATCTATATATAAATGTTTTTAATTCTTTTATTTATGCTTATGAGTTAAAAGTGTAACTCTAGAAGTCAATAACAATACCCGTATGCAGAGTAATATTTTGGAACATGATAATCGGTTTTGTTGAACTTAGGACAAATTCACAATGACAGAGTTCTTGGCCTTCTGTTATGCATACATATCATAAATTTATTACCGGTGCATAACATTTTTTGTACCTTGTATCTGTTCTTTTGTAATTATTTGTTACATAAAATTTCTTGTACCATAATACGTTAAAAAAATAAATGCTAAAATTCCTTTATAATACAAAAAACAAGTACCTAAATGTAAACAAATAAAAATTTGAATTAAAAAGTTAAAACAAAAGATTTTTTCCCCTGAAAGTTTGGGCCCAAAACATGGATGCATGTTATACATGGGGGAGCATTATACATGGCAAAATATGGTAGCTATCATTTATAGGCACATTTACTTGATCAAACTACTGTTGCTCATTGGTACAGAAAGAGTGAACTTTTGTTAACCAAAGTCTGTCATACCTGAGACCCTGTTCCCAAGTTTCACTATTAAGATCAGGTTATAACCACAGTTAAAACAGTGATTTCAGAGATTTTACTGATTTTTTGATGTGTCATAGCTTCAATAAGAGATGATATAAATATTTTTAAACACTTACAATTAAAAGTTCACAGTGTCATCTTAAAAGTATTACTACACTACTCTGCTGGATTATAAAACATAGGAAATGAAGGATGATGAAATACTTCACTATAATGAGATGAATTATGAACTACTTGAAGTTTCACTGATTGTAACATTCAGACTTTACAAAAAATCCCTAAAACTGAAAGTTAATGAACCCTCTAATCAAACTCACATAACTACAGAGACTAGTTTGGCACCTATTCCTCCAATTTTAAAAACGTTTGCCGTACATGCCTTAGCTGTTATTTTAGAATTCTGGAGAGCCGCTGCACTGGCGCCACCCCTCCCACCTGTGGAATGAGCTCCTGTCGGAATTTCTGTGCCCTCCTCTTGTGTTGTGCGGAATATATAAGACTTAAATTTGGAGTTCATTTTTACTAATTAACTCGCAAAAGAGTTAAACCAACTTCTTTTCCTCCCACCCCTCTTCCATCCCCACTTTCTGTAAAACTGTCCAGAAAAGCATCCATGTCTTATTTAGGTAGTGTTGGCACTTATGAAAATCCCAAGGCCTGGGTGTTGGAACCTTGTCTAGTGTTAGGGAGCTGGGAATGTAGAATGCAGGGAGATGAGCGCTCCATTCCCTCGCCATTGTTAGAGCATGTGGGGAGGCCTGCCTGCAGCCCTAAAGAAAGCTCCCTGTGCCAGGTGTGCTTACGTTCCCACACTGTTGAGTGTTTATCACACACACATCCACTGGGGTGACAATCCTCAAGAGGATTGGGGACTGTGCTCTCCTGGGCAGAACAGCAGCATAAGGACAACCCACCACTGTGGATTCTAGGCCTTTGGTTTTGTTTTTTTTAATATTTATTAAATGTATTAGGGTGACATTGGTTAGTAAAGTTACATAGGTTTCAGGTGTACAATTCTGTAATACATCATCTGTATATCCCATTGTGTGCTCACCCCCCAGAGTCAGTTCTCCTTCCATCACCATATATTTGACCCCCTTTTCCCTCTTCTCCCACCCTCCTCCCCACTTATCCCCTGGTAACCACTACACTGTTGTCTGTGTCTATGAGTTTTTGTTTGTCTTGTTCGTTTGTTGTCCTTTGTTTTTGTTTTCTTGTTTATTTGTTCCTCATTTTCCTTTTATTGTGAGAGCTCAGTAGTGTTAAAATAATTTATAACCTTAATTCTTTTTCAAGAAAGTACGCATGTGCATACACACTCATTCACACATACTCAGCAACAGGTCTTTTCCTGTGGGTGCTGGGGAAAAGGGCCTGAGGTGAACAACATCAGGGCGTCACTAGGCAAGAGGAGTGAATGGTAGGTATGTTTATGGGTGGCCCGAGTGATCCTCAGGCCCCACCAGGTAGATGGTCCCCTATGCTGGCAGCAGCAGGATGGGCTCAGAAGGTCCCTCCTGGTAGGGCTTCTTTCTTTTTTTTTTTTCAGTCTAACATTTTATTCAGTTATTTTTAAATTTTATTTTTTAAAAAAAATTGTATATATTTAAGGTGTACAACACACACACACACACACACACATATATATATATATATATATATATATATAGTGAAATGATTACTACAACCAAGGTAATTAACGTATCTTCTCATACAATTACCTTGTTTTGTCATGAGAGCACCTAAAATCTCCTCTTAGTAAATTTCCAGACTTCATTATTATTAACTATAGGCACCCTGGTACATATTAGATCTCTAGACTTCATCCTACATAACTGCAACTTTGTACCCCTTGACCAACATCTTCCGTTTCCCCCACCTCGCCGCCCGTAGTAACTACCCTTGCTTCTGAGTTTTTGACTTCTTTTAGATTCTACATGTCAGTGAGATCATGCAATTTTTTTTTTAATTTATTGTTAGTTTCAGGTGTACAGAACAATGCAATAGTTACCCTTTTCACCCTCACAAAGTAAAAACCCCCCTCCCCCCATCCACTGCCCTCCCACCCCCATATCATGCTTATCTATTACAATTCCATTGAATCCGTTCCCGCACTCTACTCCGTGTCC